AATAAGTCGGTAGATTTCGAGACGCTTGGATTAAATGGTAGGTATAAAGGTTGCGGCCCTACACTTCACCTGAATCTAGGTTCTGATACCTTCATGACATAATATTCGATCAATATACGAGGTGTTTTTGAAATGAGTACAAATATTCAGCACATCGATATGTACAGTCTAACGAATATTCCCATGTTATCAGATATTTTCTTATTATTCTAATCAACGAGAAATTTCATCCCGAATTTTTTTTTATGTTCTGGTTCCCACGAAAAGGGATATCCTGTAATATTCAGAGAACCGTGCGAGAATGTGCCTTCCGCATGAAAATGTGAACAGAGGTGACGTCAGAATTGCTACAGTGTAGAACTTTGGGTGAAAAAAAAGGGGTCTAACCCCAAATTCTATATTGATCCCTATATTTTTTTATTGGTGCCATTCGATAGTATACCTACATCTAGCTTTCTTAGGGTTTGAGATATTTGCACATATTTCAATGCCACCCTGTATATTATTCAATTCAAACGATGAATCTTTTATAAATCTTAACATTATGTTATTACCTTCAACCATCGTGCATGAAACAATAATTTTTCTAGGTGTTTAGCTGCCAACTGAAAAGAAATTTCGGCTTCTCCTGTTGCTAGAACCATTTCGTACAAGTACTTTTGGAAGCAGAAGCACTAAAGCCATGATTGCCTTATCTTAGCCTTATTACCCTACCAAACACCGAAAATAACCTAATATTCTTCTAGTTATTCAATAATTCTCATTTTTTATTTCTTGGAGCGCATTTGGTACAAGGGTTTGAATATACATTGCAATTAGAGATTTTCATCGAAATTTCACATGGAAACAGAACCTAAATTAATCTTTACGCATGACTGATTTCTTTGTGTGACTATATCCAGGGATTTACGGAATCGAAAAAAAAACGTTTATCTGAAGAAAGTTTCAAAATAATTGGATATTTTATGGAAATTTCGAAATATCACATTGAAAAAGGAACCTCAAGATGTCATAGTAGGAAGCAAATATAATTCCAAGTCAAATATAACATGAAAAGCCGATTAATCCACACCCAGGGATATGAAATTCCCAAAAAAGTGTTTATTGTTCCGCCCTAATGGAGAGTACTGTCATCTGCAAAATTGGTTTTTCTCTATCTGCACGGGTATCTAGGTGGGGAACGCATTTATAGGCACGAGAACGTCTTCGTCGCCTTCGATGTGTATAACCAAGAGCCCAAACTCGAAGCTCGATTCCCGAAGATTCCGTTCAGGAAGCGGTCGAGATCGGACACGATCCAAGCGGCAGCCACAGCTCGGTATACTATACAGTGTGTCCAAAATTCGATCCTCACCATTGGGATCTCAGTAACTATGAGAGATAGAGAAACGGTTAAATCAGCAAAGTTGTAGCAAATTTAATGTTGAATCAGAATCTATCGACAAATCCGGGCTAACTCGAGTCATTCTTGAGTTATTTGAGAAAATCTGAAATCTTGTATTTTTGTTTTTCGCGAATATCTCGGAAACTATTGATTTTGAGAAAAAATTATTTCAATATTCTCATAGCACTTTTTGGTGCTCTTTTCAATGGTTTTGTCAGTTTTCCATCAAAATGTCAAATTTCTGAGATATCACCTACAACTTCAATTTTTCTCATGAACGCCATATTGGATTTTCACAGATTTGGAATCAGCATACAATTTCTTATCTAGTGATGTATCACACTCACAGTTTCATTCTATATATTTAAGGTACTGATTTCCAATTTTTGTTTTTATGTCCAGTAGGCTATGAATTCTGTAACTAATAAATAATACTCGAAGTCATCTCCACGACAATTCATTATGTTGTGTTATTAGTTACTACTTCACTCCACCATGACTTTTACCAGAGATTATGAATTCTGTGTTCTATGTTCTTGCATAACTTATCGCATGGAATTGGATGTGTACTATAATAGCAGAAAAAAAATTAACAGGTGAATAATACAAATACTAAACAAAATCAATTGAACTGCTCGAAATGGCCCCCATTGTTCTCGATACATTTCAATATTCGCGAGCGAACATGATTCGCTGCTTTTCTCAGATGAACTCTGTTGATGTTCTGGAATGTGTCCATCACTCTATCTCGTAATTTTATTTTTGGCGTAGCCCCACAGGTAAAAATCGAGAGGCGTACAATCAGGTGACCTTGGAGGCCATCTCACAGGTCCATGAGTAATAATATATTTAGCACCAAATTGATTTTCGAGATATTCCCTAACCAATCGCGTATTGTGCGGTGGGGCACCATCTTGCTGAAACCACATTAACCCATGTTCAGCAAGTGATATTTCGTATATGAAATTCGAAATCTCATTTCTCAATAGCTTTAAATTACGTGGACCATTCAAGTTATAATCGTAGATTATTGGACCTAATAGTCTACTGCCTGAAAAAAATACACAATAAGAAATAGTTATTTATGGACAAAAATTATAGTAAGGTACCAAATATCCCACACCAAACATTGAAACCAAAATTGTTCTGATTTGATTCTCTGATGACATGTTTATTGTAAATTCAATTATTATGAAATTTCGCTTCATCGGCCCAGCAGATATTCGATGGATAGTTCTCGATTCTTTCACACTGGTTGACGAACCAGTGACCAAACTCGAGACGATGTTCATTATCACCAGGTCCTAACCCTTGTACTATCACTGGTTTGAAAGGGTGGTACTTATCATTCAGTAAATGTCTGAGAACTGTTTTTTTCGGCACAAGAGTTCTCCGACTAAGCTGTCGAATTGAAATGGTAGGAGTTTGATTGATTCTTCCTTCGATATTTGGAATTTCTTGGTCATCCAAGCGCAAACCATACCTTGGCCTAGGTGCAATGAAGCTTCTATGCTCTTGTAAATTTCTTTGTAATGTTAGAAAAATAAAAGGATGCGGTTATAATAATAATACTTCATTTTCCAATGAGACAATATTACAAATTGTATAGGAAATTGTCAGAACATAGAACAGAAGAAAGAATACAGAAGATGTAGAAAAGACGATTCAAAGATCAAGACCTATGTCTAGTCATTCTGTCAGCGAATAATAACATTTTTGCATCAAAAAACTGTTTAGCGTCTTTTTGAAAAGAGCAAGATGCTCTGCATTCCTTATGTGGTCAGGAAGTTTATTGAAAATTCTTCTTCCGATGTGCTCAGGTGATCTGGAGGTTACTCTTAGTCTAGCAAATGGTACATGAAATTGATCTCTAATCCTGGTTTTATAGTGATGAACATTTTTATTCACTTCAAAAACTGACCTGGTTTTATATATATACAGACATATTTCTGACATATATATAGATACTAACGTTGACACATTGAAATCTATAAAGAGTGGTTTACAAGATTCTGTGGCCGAGACCTTCGCAATACATCGCAATATGCGTTTTTGGGCAATGAATACATCTTGCGCCATGCTTGAACTACCCCAAAATCAGACACCATACCTAAGTCTGGACTCTACCTGGGAGTAATAAATATTCAGCAGCTGAGTTCTATTCAAAACCGAGCGCAAATTCATAAAAAGAAACTTCAGGGAATTAAGCTTGGAAATTAAGTGTTGACAGTGGACATTCCAGTTCAGAAACTTGTCTAGGAAAATACCCAGAAACTTGACACTTTCGTTAGTCTCCAGATATGTTACATTGTCAACCATGAAACTAAATCTTTCTATTTTATTCTGTCTATTATGTATGCGGATAATCTCTGTTTTATCTGAATTGAAAAATAAATCATGATTATTAAAAAAATTTGATATCTGACTAACTGCACTGATACATTTAATTTTCAAAATTCTGGTATCTGAGGCAGAAATAATCAAAGATAAGTCATCAGCATAGGCCGTATAATGACACCCAGCTATTACAGAATCAATATTATTGACATACAAAATAAACAGAATGAGCCCCAAAATGGATCCCTGAGGTACACCCATCTCTATATTTGAAGGCTCTGAATCAATTCTCCGAATTTCATTATTAATGGTTGGCTGAAGGGACACATACTGGCTCCGATTTTTGAGAAATGAAGATATCCAGCTGAGCGAGACACCTCTTAGTCCATACATTTTCAGTTTTGCTAAGAGCTTCTGGTGATTGACACAGTCGAACGCACGGCTTAGATCACAAAAGATTGCTGCCGGACATTCACCTGTTTCAACATTGTTGTTGTCTTTCTCGATATAAATGGTATTGTCTAGCTGTTTCTCTGTTATTTCGATTATTTCTGATGTAACAATTGTTGTACATATAAAATTTTTCGGGATTTGTGAACGGCATTGTTTGCCCCGAAATAATTGACTCGTATTTTCTCTTGACGTTTACAAAAATGTCACTTGGCTCCAAGCCTACTCTATGGAAGTTGTGCCAGAACACATAATCGTTATTGTTTCTAGACAGTTTAGCGCATAGCCTACTAGACATGAAAACAAAAATTGGAAATGAGTACCCCAAATAGGATAAAACTGTGATTGTGATACATCACTAGAAAGGAAATTTCATGCTGATTTCAAATCTGTGAAAATCTGATATGGCGTCCATGAGAAAAATTGAAGTTGTAGGTGATATCTCAGAAATTTGACATTTTGATGGAAAACTGACAAAACCATTTGGAAAGATCACCAAAATGTGCTATCAGAATGTTGAAGTCATTTTTTTTTCATAATATCAATAGTTTCCGAGATATTCGAAAAAAACAAGAATACAAGATCAGTTTTTCTGGAATAACTCAAGAATGACAAAAGCTAGCCCGGATTCCTCAATAGATTCTGATTCAACATTAAATTTGCTACAACTTTGCTCATTCAACCGTTTCTCTATCTCTCACAGTCACTGAGATCCCAATGGTGAGGATCGAATTTGGGACACACTGTATAGGTGAAACGACGTCCGAAAGGTGAGAGAGCGTCGCGTTCGACGTCGCCACCGCAGACAGACGAGCCCACAGACTCGAACAGACCTCGGGCGCAATCCACACTGAATCTCGCGCCGCGACCGCATCGCTATCATCGGATCACCATTCGCGGCACCAGTTCGGAATCAAGGAATCAGTGCGTTCGCGTTCGCGGAGCAAGTAGCACGCAGTCCGGTCGTCCAGCCAGCCGAGACGCGAGGTGCGATGTTAGAAGCGCGTGCCGCGACCATTCCCATCGCGTATCGCCACGTGCTCTCCGAAAGGCCCGATGCCAGGATCTAGGGACAGGGAGCGGCAGGGCGACACTATGTCCCAGTCATGGTGAGGACGCTGCTGCTGGGACTACTGGTTGCTACGATTTGCGGCATCGCTGTGGGCTCGCCGGCGGCCGGTTCTGTGCCGGAAGGGCAGCCCTTCCGGCCGGATCCGGGCCAGGAGCGCCAGGAGGAGGAGGACGATCCGGGAGCGCGCAGCGAGAGGAGCACGAATCTGACGGGTACCGCCAGGAAGATCCAGATGTTCATCAAGAACAAGCACCTGCAGATACTGCCGGATGGGACAGTGAACGGTACCACCGACGATACCAGCGCTTACTGTGAGTCGGGGTGTTCATTGGGTGTTTTCGGAAACTTACTCTGGGTCGATCGAGTCGATCCAGGGGGGTCACGTGACGAAAAACTCGGATCATCTGTTCGTGTTCAACGTTTGCGAACGTGCGTCAGGTTAGGAACACCGAATAATATAATCCTCTTCCTATGGACAAATATTTTTATTTGCTATTTTCAGGGTGTTCCTCAATGATATGCTAATATCCAATGGGCCGATTATTCGACCCATTTCAAGAATTGAACTTCACATGAACGTATCTCGTAAACGTCCTAACTTTTGAAAATATGCAATTCTTTTTTTTGTCCACTCTGTATCTCTTCGTAATGGCAAACTTCAGTCTGCTATGTGACTAAGTCGGTATGAAAATTCCAAAATGTTTATACTGTGATTATCCAGGAATGTATGTCCTGAATGAAGTACTCTCATGCAGACATCAAAATTTGAAGTCTGGTCTAGTTTTTCATGTTTTTCTCAAAAACGAAGCGTACTACCGAGTATCAAGAGAATTTTTTTGTACATAATTGAATAGCCTTTCATAGCACTGTACGAAATTTGAAAATTTTCCATCGTTGATCACTTTTAAGTAGAATATAAACAAAAATATTCCCGTAACGGTGCCACTGCACTGCCACGGAAAAAATGAAAATTTTTGTACATCATAAAATGCAACTTGATGCATAAAAGACGTGTACGGAATTTCATGTAGATGTATACAATATTATCTCAGGTATTATCAAAAAACTGAATATTTTTCAAAACTTCATCATCCTGTATCTCAAAAGTTAAGACTTTCAGGACATACGTTCATATGCAGTTTTCTTCATAAAACGAGTCAAACAATCACCCCCTAAAATATTAGCATGCCTTTAGGGAACACCCTGTATACATTTCTTCAACAAATTACGCACCACCAAAAAGTAGCCAGAAGTTTAAGAAATATTTTCGTCAAAAGTAAAGTGTCTGATTTCGACGTTTTTTGTTTTGAATGACAGGTTATTTCCTCCTGAACATTAGTGTGCTAACTGTATTCGCTTAAAAACTTCCGAGAAAACTTCCTTTTCATATACATATCGGGGGATTACATCATGTTTTTTTTTTCATGAAATTTGTAATACCCTGTAGAGTGTAATAGTTACAGTAACGAGAGTAAATTGAAATCACAGTTTCTCCTTATCTTTTTTCAAACTTTCTTCTTTGGATTCACTTCAATATCTTTCCTATTATTCGAGAACCACCATTGTATAACGTTATATGATTTCATGGAAAATTAATTAAACTGTTAAACGAAAAGGTCAGTAGCGAGTATTGTCGCCGCGGGCCTCTCAGACGGTCTGTACCTGTTGGTCCAGGCTCGGGTGCAGGTCTTCCCAAATTCGAATCATCAGTCTCTGCCGTGCGTTTTCCAAATTATTCAAGTACAGTTCCTCTTGTCCCAAGATATCCCAGAGATTCATAATGGGATTTGAATCCGGGCTCCGAGTTGGCCATACCATGGTAGCGATACAGACTGCCTCTAGATGATTTCTCACAACTCGGGCGACGTGAGACCTGGCATTATCTTGCATCAACAAAAATCCTCACACTAAGTATATATGGTTCTAAAATTACCGATTTGAATTTTTCAGCTGTAAGGCTTCAATTTATGATCACAAGTTCTATGCCACCAGTCCGGACCAGTCAAAGAAATCATTTCCCAGACCTTCTGCAACTTTCGTGCCTATAAGGCCAATTGAATTCAATAAAATCATATTAGGCTATGAAATTGTGTTTCTGGAGGAATATGGAAGACAATGAAGTGAATCCAAAAAAATAATGTTGAAAAAAGATAAGGCTAAAGTGTACTTTCAATTTCAACTTGATAACGAAACTGTTACACTACACAGGGTATTACAAATTTCATAAAAAAAAACACGCTGTAATTGCTACACCCGGTATTCATGAAAAGGCTTCTTAAGCGAATACAGTTTGCCGAGCAGTTGCACACCTATGTTCAGAATGAAATAAAATGTCATTCATAACAAAAAACGTCCAAATCGGACGAGTAGTTTAGACGGAAATGATTCCTAAACTTGAAGCTACTTTTTGGTGGTGTGTTAATTTCTTGGAGAAATGTATATAAAGAGTGTGCAATTTCAACCCGCAACACCCTTCTAATTTGGAACCCGTCGACTGATTTACAAAAACAAAAATTCCATAATATATATAGTACTCAACGAGCTCTATCAGAGAATGTGAACAAATTTGAAATATTCAAATCCTCAAGGCCTACTTTTGTTTGTAGAAGGTGCAAAATTTCAAAAACCCATTCGAAATTTGAACCCAAAATCTTCTATAGGGTGTTAGTTATTCAGTGGCAAATTTTTATATTTTTGATTTTTCGATTAACCCTGTGTCAAAATCTAAGGAGTTGATATGTCGGTGAAGTAGTCATTCAATGAAGGAACACATGGGATACTCAGATACGAAGTTTCATCGTTGTAACTTCTACAGGAAGATCTCTCTTGGTCAACTGAAAATTAATGAAATTGAAGTTGCACATTTTTTATTATGATCCATATCTATTTTCCTGGAAATATAAATAATAGTAACTTATTCGAGGAAATATTCTCTATACATAACAATTTTCATTGTCATCTCAAATTTCCCTTCTATCTCGCCAAAATAGGTATATTATTTTCGAGATTATTTTGATCACATTGATTATCAGTAAATCTCCTTGCAAGTCTTTGTATAACTCGTTGTAGAATGTTTTTCTGTCATTCTATTTGTGTTATATTCGCCAGTTCATTATCAATCGAGAGTATATTCTAAGTCACTGTATGGTGAAGTATGTGGAAAACGGTTTACTTGAGTTTTGGTGAACCCGAGGGGAAATTCGCTGAGGAATTTTGGTGTACACTTGTGTGGAATTACGAGGAATTACAGTGGAATTGCATGGCATTGCCAGGAATTGCGAGGCATTACGAGGCATTGCGAGGAATTGCGTGGCATTACGAGGAATTGTGTGGCATTACAAGGAATTGCGTGGCATTTCAAGGAATTATGATGCATTATTGGCATTATAGTATGAATTGCGCATGCGTTAATATCTCGATTACGTCATCGCTCGCCACGTGTTCCAAGTTGTGCTAACGGAAAACGTGAGATCCTTCAGTAGACTGTTAGCACAGATTAACAAACCTTTTGTTAATCTGTGCTGTTAGCTAGGTTAGGAAAAAGACATCACGATATTACACATACGCTGTTCTGGTGTCTGTGCTCTGAATTTTGAATGATATTGTGGAAGTTTTATCATAAAGAGTTAATTAGTCCATCAGTTAATTAGGTTGGTATTTACTAGATATACAGGGTATCCGGAGATAACGACAAAACTCGTAGGGTTATATAGGAACTGCCAATATGATTGCAAAATGCCATGTATACAAATAATGTCCAAAACCGCTTCGTTACTGACATACAGAGTGATTTGTTAGTTTGTACAACAAATTAAATCCTCCATATTAAATGCCGATTTGGGTTAAATTTGGTACATGAATCAAACTAAAAGACCTTAACAAGTAGCCCTTTGAAGAAACCAATATCAGGACCAGAGTATTCTCTTTTTATCATGTTAAGTTACCCTGTATAATAATTATCAATAATCTAATCTCAGATTCAAATTCTACGGAAAAATACTAATTTATTAGCGTTTATTAGTAAGCAAATATAATCCACAAACAATTCAGCCAATTCCTTTTTGAAAAAGTGCCTATAAGATTTTTTTAGTAGATTTCAAATCTGCTATCAGATTATTGATGATTGTTTTACTAGGTCAGTTATTCTTACAAGAACTGAACATAATAAAGATTCATTCCGGCCTTGATACGAATTTATTCTCAAGTTTTTTTGGGTAAGTACTTCATCAGACACTTAAATTCCTCCAGTGAAAAAATTGAAAATATTATTACGGAATAACTGAAATGGTACCAGAAACTTTTTCAACAAGTTCCTGTAGGATTTTTCTCGTAGATTTTCAACCTGAGATCAGATTTTCGATAATTTCTATACAGGGTGAGTTATTCTTACAAGAACACAACATAAAAAAATATTCTGATCTTTATATTATTCATTATAAATCGGAATAAATATGAGGAATTGCAAAGAATTGCAGTGGAATTGCGAGGAATTACAGTGGAATTGCGAGGAATTGCGAGGAATTGCAAGGCATTACGAGGCATTACGAGGCATTACGGGGCATTAGGAGGCATTACGAGGAATTATGAGGCATTACTAGTCAATATAGTGAATTAAGGAGCATTATTTTGGCATTGAGGAATTAGTGTACATCATTCTGCCCAGCGAATTGCCCCTCGGGTGAACCTCAACTTTAATTTCATTGATTTTTGATTTACCTAGAGAAATCTTCCTGTAGAAGTTTCAACGATGAATCCTCCTATCCAAGTATTCAATGTGTTTCTCCAGTGAATGACTACTTCACCAGCTATATCGATTCCTTCGATTTTATTACAGGGTGAATCGAAAAATCAAAAATATCAAAATTTGCCATTGAATAACTAACACTCTATATGAGATTCTGCATTCAAATTTCGTATGAGGGTATTTAAGCTATGCCCGAGGCCTCGCCCGAGGCTATGCCTGAATCGATTGAGCTAGTCACTGTTTCAAATGCCTAATAGTCGTTTTTGAAATTTTGACCCATTCAGCAATCGAAAGTATGCCTTGAAAATATGAATATTTCAGATTTGTCCACATTTTCGAATAGAGCTCGTTGAGTACTATATTATGAAATTTTTCGATTTTGAAAATCGGTCGACGGGTTTCAAATTTGAAGGGTGTTGCGTGTTGAAATCGCACACACTGTATATACAAACTTTACACCTACCCAAATCCTCTTTTCTATGGTTTACTAAATCAAATTAGGAAGATCAAAAAGAAAATTTAAATCACCGATCGAAATGTTTCCAACATCCGAACTTTTTTATTATC